TATAAACTGAGGTATTGTTCACCTTTAAAGAGCTCTAAACCCTCCTTTAAATCCTCTAAATAATTTATTGAACAAAATTCAAATTCAACTTCCTACATCGTTCCTCCATCTCAACTTTAGCCAGTGTTTGTGCATTAGAGTGAATTTAGAGCTTTTAGCTCTCTAATAGCATCATTAATACAATTGGGCTTATGCTATTTATCATAATGAATATTTTTATATTAACAGTTTATACAATGACTGTATAATGTGAAGGGCGTTGCCTCGCAGCCACAGATATTATCTGCACTTCCTCTCAGATCTGCAGAGTGTTTTTAGGGTTTTTCAGCTTGTTGTGTTGGAAGCTGTTTTAGTGAAAAGCCTCTAAAAACCAAGTATACACTCCAATCCAGCAGCAAAGGACAAGTTACTAACTAGCTTGAGAACATTGTGTATGTATTGAGTATGTAGCTGCTAAAGAGCCAGATATTTCCCTCAGTAGTTGGCCGAGACCAGACCAGAGCTAAAACAAGAGTGAGTAATGGACTAACATTCATCAGACAGCCAGAAACATGCATTCACATGTGTGAATAAGCAACTGTTCACAAACCCCATATCAACTCTATAAGGAGACAATACGTCCATGTTGTGTTTACAGCTTGTTGTGCTGCTATAAGTGTGTCTACTGTTGCTTTGACTACAAGAAACAAACTGTCACAGGCTGTATACAAGGTATGAAGGAAAAGAACCCAAATGCAGACAACCAGCCAGGCGGGAACATTTAAGTGATTTTAATGGTAAAGTGATATACAGACGCTTATCAGCTTGTACATCAGCCAGAATGAAGTCTTAAATTAGTTTGTGTTATCTTCATATCACAATAGTTTCTATACCAGAGGTCAGTTTCCATTCACACTCTGCAGCAGCCTGACCACAGACAGTCAAGCAACCGAGCACAGCAGACTATTTTATGTATCACACCCTTCTGATGTGTATTCTTCAGCCAGGTCAATAAGTACTGTGTTAAAGTACACAGTTTCAATACATTGCTGTTCCTTCTCTGCACCCTCTGTATGACGTCCTGCCTCAGTGCTCTTACAGATTAACTGCAGAGATCATCTGTATATCTTTGACTTCCTTTGCATTATAAATTCTCATGTTAAACTGAATGATTTGTAGATTTCTCCATAACTCTGTTCACTTTGGCATTAACCAGAAATAACTTGATATACAGTGTATACTCTATACTACAGGCGTTAGAAAGTATAAGCAGAGCCAATCCTGACCTCCCTGGGGCCCTAAGCATAATTGTACTAAGGGGCCCTCTAACCTGACCCACGAGCCATGTAAACCATTTTCACAGTGACCTCCCAGTGCTCCCACTACAATCCTCCCTCCTCTAAGACAGTTTGCTCCATCTGTCGGTCTAGATCTATACAGAACAGAGTGAGATAAAGAAACAATATTTAGTGAACAGAATATTGTCTATAGAATCTTAAAATTAGAGAACAAAAACATAAATAAGAAATAATAAAATATAACACTGAGCTCCAGTCCAGTCCTCCCAATATTATGTAAATACCTTTGGCTATACAATTTAAGTTTTATAACTAGGTTGGGGAACAAAGACCATGCCTTGCACACACCTTATCCGTTCAGTCCCTCCTTGACTCAGTTTGTACATGATCTGCGTCAGACAACAAACACAAAAACAAGTACCTCGAACCATGTAAAACAAGCTCATCCTCAACCCTTCAGACAGCAACGTGTTTGAAGACGACCGGCAAACTCCCGAAATCTCTGAGTCCTCTCCTTAGCCTACCACCCCTTCTCATCAGCCACCTTGGCTGTGTTCAACTATCCACGTTCCGTGACACTCACAACCTTCTACATTTAGAATCAGTCCAATTGGCGTCGCCACCAGGATATACTCATGAAAAAAGAGCTCTTAAGTCACAAGCATCAGTAGCCTTATTCCCAGCCCAGATTTCTCCACGCAATATCCAACAAATGACCAGGCTATCTCCCTCATCCACAGGCCAAGGAGCCTGGTTGTCCAAAGCAGATATCACCAGTGCTGAATATTCTTTCCTATCCATCACGACGACTGGCCTCTTTTTGGCATTCTTTGGAAGGGTGCATGCTACTTTGCCTGCAAAAGCAGCCCAAAAATATTTGATTTCTTGTCCGAAGGATCTTGGCAAATAACTACAAACTCCCATACGTCATCCATCTCCTAGACAACTTTCTCACAGTCACGCCATTATCTTCTCCCCCCTCACATGTTCTCAATACTCTGATTTCCGCTTTCAATTAGCTCAGAGTTCCTCTCTCCCCGGAGAAAACGGAGGGCCCCTGCACATCCTTGGAGTTTCTCTGTACTTTCCTCAACTCCGTTTCACTCCAAGCCCACTACGAAAGTCCGCCAGATTTCCTTACTCATTTAAAATTTCCTCCTGGCTCACAGAGCACTAAACAACAACTTCTCTTCCCTCATCCCCCAAGGTCGATCCTTCTTGTCACACCTCCTTTTCATAGCCTTCTCCGTCCCATCTCTCCACGACCACACTGGATGATGCATGCAAAATGGAGCTAAAATTACGGCACCAGTTCCTCTCATCATGGAACGGCATTTCATTCTTTTACAACGACCACATCACCAAGCCAGAAGCCTTTTGCGGCTACTTTGGTGACAGGTGTTTTTCAGCCAAATGGCTGCCTGAATTCTCATCTCTCTCTTCTTCCTCCACTATCTGCAAAATGTACAAAGTCATCATTGCAGCTATTCTTTGGGGTCACAAAAAAAGTGTTGTCGTTGACATCATAAACAAGGGATGGTCCCACTGCTTAGTCATAATGCAATTCATATGGAAGCTCACCCTAGTTTCAGCCCAGCACCAATTCATTATCCGAACCTCTCACATCCCAGGTCACAAAGTTTAAGCCCTCTCTCCCTTCTTGTTGCAGAAGTTCAGACAATTGGCACCAGCCTCCGACCCTCTTCCGACTCGAGTCCTACCATTTTCAGCCACCATCTTCTGACTCCCCAGATACAAAATCTGGTCACCGTTTCACAAGATGCCTTTCTGAGCAGCGTTGCTCCCCGTAAACTTTTATCATACCTGACTGGATGGAATTGCTTCAAAGTTTTCCATGCCTCCCATAGTCTTCCATTCCCTTCGCTCGACGTCCTGACACTATAGTTTCATCTTGTTCGCCCATTCCATTCTTAAGATTAAATCTTCCACCATCCAAGCCGTTATCAGTGGCATTAACTTTCTCATCAAACTATTCTCCCGTGCACCATGTCAGGCCACATCTCACTCACATATCAGCATGTTAGTTAAAGGATTCATCATCACTCCCAGAGCCATACTCAGGGCCTTCCTTTGGCATCTGAGCCAACTCCACCGTTGTTACTCCTTGGCAGATAGTAACAACCTAAACAATATCAAAAACTACTTTTTTATAGTCTGTCAACACTCCACTACCCAAAGTATGATTGTCTTTGTCTCACACTGACTTAAAGTCACGAGAGCCAGAGTAGTTTTGGGAAATGTAGCATCACAAACTGAAGAACTCCACTACAAATGAAAGTCTGTCTGATGTTGTTTAGAGTGTGATTGTAGTTTCTGATGTGCTCTGTGTTACAGTGATACAGGGTCAGAATGACTGGGGAGTGACTTACAGCTCTAC